TTAGGTCTTCTCGGCTCGATGTACAGTGATTCTAATTTGAAATAATTCTTTATTTCTTCTTCTATTGGCTGTGCTTCTTCCCTTTGATGTAGTCTGCCGCAGAAGGTGACCGTCGATGTCAATGAGCTATGACAGCCATGTAGAACCCAGCCCAGGTTGGTGTATGAGGCGACTGGTTGATGTCGACGACCGACGCGCAGTTTTCTAGACACTATGAGGTGCCAGTTATCTTGCCCGATTAGTATTTTCGGTGAGGCGCGTTCGTAGGTGATATCCTGTTTGATATCTAGCAGATGTTGGTAATTCTTCAAGTGATTTTCATTCACGGATTCTGGCGCGAAGTCCAACCGCTCTACAGTACGCGCTGCTTCTATGTTGTGTTCCTCTTGCGCGTGCTTTCCTCTTATTTTAAGGCTGACGATCTTGCTCTTCTCATGCTTCACCTCCGAGCCAACCCCTTGTATCCACATTGCGTGGGCTGGGCCGTCCGCGCCGATGACGTCAGCGATCGAGGCGTCGACTAAGGTGACCGTGCTTCCTTCATCCAATAATGCGTATGTTTCGACGCAGCTTAGCGGCCCCTTTATTGTTACGGGCGCAATCTTTAAGTAGGCGCGGCGGTGTTTGTATGGTTGAGTCGTTGTGATGACCTCCCTTGCCGATGTTGCAGTTTCCATAGCGGGTTCTTTTTCAGTTTCTGCTTTTCTGTCATGATTGTTTCCTCCTCCATAGTATTATACTCTTCGCTACTTCCCATCTGTCATTTGTGGACAGAGCGGCGTATGACTTGCAATCGGGCAGTTTGTGTTCTTGTTTGCATTGAGGGCAGCGTTCTTCATATTGTTTCTTGCTTGTGGTGAAGGCGCGTTCTATTTTTCTCGGCCTTCGCTTTCTCGGTTCGTTGTCCTCCGTGATGAATTCCGGCAAGGCATACGCGCTGCATTTATCCGCTTCTTCGTTTAAGAAGATTGATATTTTCTTAAGCTCTGGGATATCTTCTTTCTTCCTGGCTGCATAGTCGTACCATTTGCTTTTCAATATGGGCGTGAGTTTGTCTGTGATAACTCGCGTCATCTCCGGACTATGCAGATAGTGTGCTTTCTTGAGTGCTTCCACGGTGCCCACTACGTTTGCTATGCGATTGGCGAATATGCATAACTCCCTGGGATTGTCCGTAACTTTGTTCAGCAGCTTCAGCTTCTCTATTTCTAAGTGAATTAATGCTTCTGGTCGTCCGAATCTCCTTTCCAAAGCTTCTATTATTATTTTGGGGTCTGATTGGCTTATAAGTAGGCAGCTTGCGGCCTCTTTTGCTATCCCTTTTAAGCTTCGGCGTATTCTTGCTATGTTTTCATTCATCGTGAAGTACTTTGAAGATTCTTCGTACGTTGTTTTGAAGCTGAGCCATTCTTTGCTGCTACCATTGAATGTGGGCAGCTCTTGCAAATATTTCGGCGGCTCCCTTGTGCTTCGTACTGCTTGTGATAGAGCAGCGGCTAAGGTAGCGACGTCGATTTGTTGCTGCGCCTGTCCATAGTCTTCTTTCTGCGGCGCGGTATGTTGTGGAACGTATTGCGGTGCATACTGTTGAAGTACGGGTGGTGCGATCTGCGGTGCTGGTTGCGACGCGAAGTACGACGTGGGTTGCGGCGCGGGTTGTGTGATGTAGGTTTTTCTTGCAACCATGTACTAATGCGCACTGATGCTAAGTCGTCCTCTATTTCTTCCTCTTCGTCCTCGGTTGATCCGGCTTCTGCTTGTAGTCGCTGCACGTGTATTTCTTGCAATTCCGTTCTTGCTTGCAATCGGGCCTGCTCGAGCTTGAGTTCGGCTAACCGCTCTTTCGCCTCTAACTCCGCGAGGAGTCTCTTGCGTGAGACTACGGAGCGGCGTGACCTAGTCTCGCCCGGCTTTAATGTGCGCTGCGATCTTTGATCACTCTCTTGCTGGGTTTCTTCCGTTGCAGTCAGTCGTTTTATCGGTCGCTGAGGTAGCGGTTGTATCGCTGCCCGTTGTGGTTTCGCTAGTGGTGTTTGATGAGCCACTAGCGGCTGAGTCGCCCCCGGAGGTCTCTTCCGTGGCCCCCTGGGTTGTCTGTTCATCCTTACGACGCTTCGATGATTCTCCGCTGTTACTACGCGTAATCACCATTTTTCTTCAAAATAATATTTTTTCGTTCTTGCGGTTTGCTTCTTAATTCGGCTCTTCGAAGGACCATTAATGTTACGGATCGCCGTAACGCCGTTCGAAAAATGAATAAAACGCGTTGTTCTTGCTTATATAGGAGGCAAGCGGCGGTGAGGAGGAACTTGTACTTTTTTTCTTCTTGTAGTGCCTTTTCAGTGGCTGGAGAGCGACGACGGACCCTACCTGCCGGTCCGTCTTTTATATGATTCGGCCACTGCTGGCCAGCGGACCCTTGCCTCACCCCCCGCGCCTTTCTTTATTTCTTTAAAATTTTTATTTATTAACAAACATATTTAATTATATAATATTTTTACATCTAATTCTTATACTATTATGTACACAATAATTATCTTATACTCTAAAAGGTTTTAAACCTTGTAATTTACAATTTTTAAGCTGAGAACCCTGCCCCGCACCTCAGCACTATAAATATAAAACGTCGTGACGCCCTACGCGTAGCTTCATTAACTCCGCGGCCGCGTCACGATAACATGCCCTGATAATGTTATAATTATCTTAAGAAAGGTAATTTATATGAATGGTAATACGTATACAATAAAGGTGATATGCAACAAAGGTAAATTAACTATAAGAGTACAATTTATATTTTAAAATCTATGCTAACTCTCGTTATTTATTCGATGCCTTTATTGGGAGAGTTATTTGCATAGTTACAACATCATTCTTTTTTTATTATCTTATTCTAAATCTTATATTAATATAAGTTATACATGTTTAACAAAATTAAATACAATAACCAAGACTACGGCTGTTTTTCTGTGTTGTTGTATGCACCCTCGCTAGTTGTCGAACCTCGCTGGTCGCGACCCCCGTGGCTCCGCCCACCGCCCCTGAGTTGCTCAACCAGTGCTGGTTACACTAAGCAGGTATCTCGTCGCTTGCGTCGTGCATAGCAATCTATATCTTCTACTGCAATATAAGTATCTTTTTTTTTCATAAACTGATTATTTAAAAACCAGAAAGCTATATAAATTACCCAGTTATACCGCCATTAACAGATATAAATATAATAGCAAACAAATTACAGGCATAGACATATATCGTTGTTGCAAAAAAAATTAAAATCGTATCGTATCGTATCATAGTTTTGGTGGAGAAAACGTAATCTGTGAGAAAACATAACAACAAATACGAGAGTATTTTTATAGGTTTTTTATAGGTATAATCAGTTCGAGTCGCTATCTTCTCTCTGGGTGGTTCGGTCGGGGTTAGGTCGATCAGCCTATATTTCTTTTACGTGGTAGAGCCATGCTGCAGTTATATTAGAAGTATAGTTGTAGCACGAATGGGTCGGCTCGACCGGGGAAGGACCACGCTCTCACATAATACCAGCGTGAAATAGTAGCTTAATGCTGCTGTATTTCGTATGGTGAGTGTAGAGAACCGGAGTTCCTTTTTGCTGGAAATGAGGCATTCCATCTTAGTCCTCACGGGTGACAACGCATCTGCATTTTGATTCGTAATCGAGGATAGATGTGGATGTCTATGGGCCATAGCAACCACTTACCATCAGGTGGACTGTGTGCTCGTTTGTCACCCTATCCTATAAAAAAAATTCTATATTATCATATATATCTCTTCTCTCTCTTGAAAAGTCTTGCCACCCAGATATCCTTAACAGAAAGCTTTAACCATCGTACTGAAGGCAGTACGATGGTTGAAGCTTTCTGTTAAGCTTTAGCAAGACCAATTGGATTAGCATAAAATTAACATTGGGTATTATGTGACGGATTAAATGCTAGTGCGTGAAGTAGATAATTTTTAAAGTGGTAGAGTTACGCTGCAGTTATATTACGGTATTAGCAGAAATGGGTCGGCTCGACCAGGGTAGGTCCACGCTCTAATTGAATACCAGCGTAAAATAGCAGCTTAATGCTGCTGTGTTTCGTATGGTGAGTGTAGAGAATCGGAGACCCCTTTTACTGGAAACGAGGCATTCCATCTTAGTCCTCAGGGGTGACAACGCATCTGCATATTGAATTTTAATAGAGGATAAATGTAGATGTCTATGCTGTGGCCATCCACTTACCATCATCCATCAGGTGGACTGTATGCTCGTTTGTCACCCTTATTCTGTAAAAAAAGATTACTAGAGTGTGAAGTACTTAGTATATATAAAAAAATGCGTGCAATATATATATATATATATATATATATATATATATATATATATATATATATATACTACATGCACGCATTTATTTTATAGAAGAGGGGGCAAACGAGCATGCGGCTCACCTGATGTTAAGTGACTACCGCCGTCCATGATCAACCACAACACCAGGGGAATTGCAGGCGCGTTGCCGGCCCTTTAGAAAGGGCCTCTTTTCTTGAAGGTCCCCAGGTCGCATCGGTCTGGAAAAATCGCCGGTGGTAAACTATTCCACAGAGAGGTCGTACGCGGAAGAAAACGTACAGTGGTGGACCGCCAAGCATCCAGATTATTTTACATTGATATTTTGTGTGAGCATGGTCAATCCGCAGTTAATGCGATCTATTTGCAGTATTACCAAAATAAAGCTGCGGTGTGGGACTACTACGTGAAAACTAAGCCAGAACTATTTTGTCTGCAGTTGGTGGCAGCGGAGGCATACTACCGACTATGCCGTACCTCGGCCGAGTACGAAATGTTTATATCGATGCGAATTGGTTTGGTCAGTATCACAGTCTATGTAGTGAGTGTCGTGACCGCCGCAGTGGGAGTCTACATGGGTCTTGACTATGACTACTGTCAAAGGCAGCACTTTGGCAACTTCTATTTTCGAGTAGCCACATCGGTTTTATTTCACGCCATGCCATTCGTAATGACTATGTTTGGTCTCATCTCTGCTTCAATACGAGTCCGGCGTCGTGCGCGCCAACAAATTCAATACAAGCGGTCTCAACAATACGAAAGAGACTACTCTACTACTACTTTAAATATCACGGCTTACATTTTGTTCGTCATTGCGTGGACACCCTACCTCGTCGTTATTCACGAGTACCCTGGCGCTAGCGACTCTAAATACTATCATTGCGCCTGGATTGGCATGTGCCGATCTGTCATCACTAGCTTTCTTTACGGCATATTGAACAGAAATTTCAGACGCGCTTTCGCACATCTTTTCAACTATTGTTGCTGCAAGAGTACTCTTTCAGGTTCGTTTACCAATCGTCACAGAAGGGCTTTGGAATACAAACCTGCGACCGGCGATGTAAGGGTCCACATAATGCACCAGGCTGTTCATACTGGGAGCCCACAAAGAGCTGCTTCATCTTCACGAGAGACCCAAGAGTTATGATCAGCTTTACAGTGTAATATACTCTAATATAAAAAAACACGCTAGCGAAAGGCTTTAAGAAAGATAACTATCCCTACTTACCATTATGTTACAAAATGTATTGATTCGAGTTAAAGAGAATACTGAGGATGATTAGAGTATTAAATATCAGGGGTGTTTATAATGTTTAAAAAAACTATTGAAAAACGCTAAAAATGTTTAAGACCTTTACAGATATTTTTGACGATCTATTTTTTGTATACATTTTACCTATATTAGTATTATAATTCACGTTAACTTGAATTATTTTGAAACATATTTTTTTATTTCCATATTATATGGATACAATACATAAAAAAGTTTTATTTTATTTTGTGTATATAACTATCCTGTTATTGTTTCAGTATAGTATTGTTAGGACTACTCCTATATTGATAAAAGTTGTATAAGTGCGTTTTTTTATTATTAAATGTGTTAAAATAAAGCAATAGCATTCTAGTCGTACCATACATAAATAATGCATGCAACTTAAATTCGATGTTACAACCAACATTCAAAAAAATAAATTACGTATTTGCTGTTAAAGGTAAACAAATACCAAATCAAAAGTTTCCTACCAATTCACTTATAATACCTACATTCCATGACGTTAAGGATACCTAAACAAGTTATAGAAACTCAACATTAGACCAAAAATTGCTTTACTTTAATTCTTTAAATTTGCTTTTTTATTTTAATTACTATTTTATGCTCTCGAAATCCATTGATTACAATACAATTATTTAGTAATTTCAGGAAAACCTTTTAAATAAAATAATTCGGTATTTTTAAAGATTAAAACATAAATATAGTCTTAGATAAATTATAAGTGTAATTTGACATTAGTCATCATTTTCTATTTTTATTTCGATAAAAGTCAGATGAGAGTTTTTATGCATAAAATTATTTTTTTTAAAAACTGCACAAATGTGTGTTGTAACTAATATACTGTTAATATGTAAGACTCTTTGTAAAACTCCTTTGAAGGAGTTTGATTTATTAGCAGTATATTAGTTTCCATCAGGTGAGCCGCATACTCGTATGTCCCTACTGCTATAAAACAGGGAACAGTTTACTTATTCTAAAAGCTTCTAAAAGCGCTAAAAGCGCTACGAGTAACTTAATGTACGTCTGGGTTATATAACTTAAACGCTGCACTGGATGAATATTAATCGATCAAAACTAACACGATATGATTAACTGTGACGAAGTTTTGCTAACACATGTGCGTCCAAATTAAGGAAATTGAGTAATATAGCTTTAAATTTATTTTAGATTTTCGTAACAATTTTGTAAATTTTACTGAGTGTTATAAGACACAATTACATACGAGTATTAAAACATTAATTAATGCACTACATATATTTATTTAATTTTTTAACGTCTAATATTCAAACTACTACTTTAAAAATAATATTACAACATTGTTTATTGAAAAATTGTGTTTATTACTCTATTACTTTAAAAATAATATTATAACATAGCTTATTTAAAAGTTTTATTTATTATTCTATTACTTTAGAGAATAACGGATTACCTTATCATAATTTTAATTATCATATGACTGATTAATTAAAATAAAATATTGCAAAATGTTAACTTACTTTGTAACAAGCTTGGTAACATTGCTTCCGTAAATTTTTGTATGCTTTAATCAATTTTTCAACAAAAAATGTCTGAAAAACATCCTTAACTTTTTTATAAACTAATTGTGAGGTTAAACATACTATACTATATCAATACTATTAGTGAGATTTATTAACCTTATATTAAATATTTAAACAAAGTCGCAATTGGGTGGTATTTATTTTATATGTATTCAACAATATACCACTATCTATCTTGTACTTCTCTGTGTTAATTATTGGTCTAAGAAATGGCGGATATAATTTCTCATCTGTACTCTTCTTTAAAAATTCTGTCTTAAAACAAACAATCTAAAGTGAGATAATTAAAGATAGTGAAATTAGGATAGGACAGTATATTATATTTATTAAAATATATAAATGAGTGTTCTTTATTGCATATTAGATTTAACGTAAACACGCACAAAAATGCGTTTGACAGGTAATCTCGAATATTATGTAGTATGTATTTCAGAAATAACAGATAATATTCATACAATATCAACTAGCCGAATAGTCTATAAATAAATGTCTATTATTATGTGCATGCGATATATTTAAATAACTTGTTATTATCTTAAGGTGTAGAATAACATACATTGAAGTGAGAGATTTTCTGTACGATCTAACTTTTTATTATAGTTAATAAATTCTGTTATTCTATACACATACCAAAATAAGTATATTTATTTTATAACACAAGAGTTTAAAAAATGTTTGTTTTGAAGTGTAATTTTTATTACCGTGAGGTAATTTTAAGGTTATTGTCATCAGTGTTAGAATAAAAAAAGTATTTGTACTGTAATATGTTAAATGTCCCTCTTTAAAGTTCTTAATTGTACCAATTACAGATATTGTTAGAACTTGGGTTTTGCCCCTATTAGTTATTAAATTTCTTGTATATTTTTTTTAATTTAGTAAACTTATTCCTATTTATTTTCATTAACACACAAGTTTTGAAATTATATTTAGATATATTATCTATATATTAGGATTTAAGATCTGTACTTGGTAATCTTGAAAAGCTTGGTGTCTATATTTTTGCATAATCTTCTTATAATAATTGAAGTAGTACTTACTATTTATAACAGGCAATATGGAAATATTTTGAGTATTTATTGAGGGTTGGTATTGGCGGGATTGTTTTTTTTTACTTGGTTTTTGAACTTTAACTATTATTTTAAATTACAATATGCAATATCTCGATACGATACGGAAGGGTACAATAATATTTTAAAGACTATTTGTACGATCTTTGAACATGTTACAATGTTACATTATTGTTGTCCGACGGCCGCTAATGCCGCATTTTATTATTAAGTAAGTTTCCCTTTTAATTTAATTTTAGGTTATTTTAACGAGGTATTTTTTATGTATTTTATGAAAAGGATAACATTAACAGAATCGTATTATCACGATTGCTAAAAGTATATTTTTGGATCGGATAGTGATTTTTACCTATGTAATGTAGTTTGTAAATATTTTATTTAAAAAAATGTTGAACATATTTGGAAAAGATTGTTAGATGGTACTAAGAAAATCAAATTTCATAATTTTTACTTTGGAAACCAGGAATTGTACAGGTGTAGTAACAATATTTTTACATTCGTAATACTGGGTTACCAGAAAAATTACTTAATATTGTGACAAAACATTATATATATTAAAGGCAATAAACAACCATAGCAGTTTCTGTACGAAAAACAACCATATCATAATGTTCAAGAAAAACATAACCACTACATTATCAAACAACCTAAAGACAAATCTCTGAAGGAACGTTTCTTGCTAAATAAATTTAAAGAACATTCCACAGTCCAACGAGACAAACGTCTTTTAATTAAAATAGAAATTAATTGAATGAATAACAAATTAGTTGCAAATTTAATTAGTTTTGACTTCAGTTGGAGCATCGGAAATCTTTACACAATATTGTGTTTAATAGTAAATTAATTGAAAACATCTGTCTAACAAATGCCACTTACTTTAATTGTTGAAGTATGATTTCAGTTATTTATTTGAAAATTTCTAGCATACTGCAATTAAATTTCAAACGTTGTAATTGTTGTATAAATAGTTTAACGTTAGTGGTTTGTTTCAGGAAACCTTTGTAATATGATTAATGAATTCCTTTCTAACATTTTATTACTTACTTCTTTATAATAAACACTTTGCAATAATTTCGATATAATACCAAATTTGACAATAGTCTACATTAGTATAAATATATTTAGTTCAATTTATATTGCTTTTGTGTTTTCTGCGGTCCTAGGGAATTACTAAGTATGTAAATTATGGGTAATTGCTGGTACTTTACAGCAAATAACAAAGGATACTTAAAATTTTACTTTGTATACGTTTTTGCGGGCCTTTGTCCAATTTTGCTTTAAACTTTTATAATGTTTTTAAAATGCTTAAGAATTGATAAAATGGGGTTAGATCGAATTTATAACGACTATTTCCTTTGTTGTCTATTTTTATATAAACATTCTTTATATATTGTAAGTATATCATCTTATTAAAGACTGGTTTTCGAGATAAATGTATACAATTGGTATTTAAAAAAATATTTGACCAGTATAATAAATATTACGAGTACTACGTAGTCATGTTATAAGTACAATATCACATCAGGGGCTGCATTTTTAATATGTAATGTGGTATTGTGTTGAGGAACAATCATTTCGGGAGAACTAGATCTTTATAAATTTGTGTTTATAAATACATTCTTTCTGTAACGGGTAACTAAGTGTACGTTATGAGTATAAGTAAGGTGTCTATTTTAATTAATATTATTTTTTTCTTAGATAATAGTATGAAACACACTAAGACTATTTTTTTAAATGTACATTTGTTTGGTGCAATCAATATTGAGTTAGCACGGGTGCGTATTAATAGCTTATGGATTGAAGTCTGCTGTGTTTGTTTTGCTGTTTGTAATTGCCTATAACTTATATGTGTAACATCATGTTAACAACAATATACTTATCTGTGTCTACATGAAAACATATGTTGTTTTATTTACATTCAAAAATAGTTTGACCTAAATAATTCACATGTTCAGGGAATTACGGAGTAATAAAGAATTATGCTTAAAAAGGCCAAGCTAGTATTCTGCTTTATCAGTTTCTTAAATATATCTTTTTAAGAATATTCCTGCTGAACAAAACGTTTATCTCACTTGAGAGTTACCCATACTTAACTGGTTGATGGACGCAAAGCGAATACTATCGTCCTTCGTGATGCTGCTCCTTATTTTATTTGCCGTCATTGATTAGGCGTCAGACCCTCGTCCAGCGTCAAAGATACGAGCCGTTGGATCGGCAATCTGCCCACCAAGCGTGGCGATCAAGGCGAGTCAGTCTACAACAGGAGAGGTCCGTGTTCAGCAGGGAACTTTAATTGACCGATACAGAAAAAGAAACCGGACTCTCATATATCAATTACCATGGTGTTTATCAATAACAGAAAGGACACTTAGAGAAATATTGTACTATGTTCTCCCTAACACCACTGTCCAAGCTTTTTATTAACGCCGTTTATTTAATTCTGTACTTAATTTTAAGCTTTCGACTTCTTTGAAGAAGTAGTGTAATACTCATATGAACCCTATTTCCGTGTGGCTGCCGTTTTGCTGAATGTCAATCGTCGTATAGCCTTGCTCAACAGTCTTTTGGGTATAAATTGTAACGGTGAAAGGCGGACACAGAGTGGGGGCAGGCTGAAGGCGTGGCGACTTCGCCAGTCCGTTCCGAGCGCATGGACGAAGTGTTGCTAACAAAACCCGGATCTCCCGACCAGACGTCGATCAAATGGGAAACTTTTACTTTCGCGCGAAATAATAAAAGTCAGGAACTGACTGTGAATGTGTGTGCAAGTGCTATAAAAAGTAATATGCGTTAGTGTCGAAAAATATTTTATAGTATATTTCTGCCATGATTAAAAGAGACAATTTCGAAATGTTTCTGTGTATAGGCTACGTTATTTGGAGCGCTGCTCTCGTACCGGCTTTAGCCCAAGGTGAGTTTAACAATGAAAAGTTTGCTCCTTTCTTTTGTTACGCGAAAATTAGCCTCTGAAGTCTCATCAATCCTCAGTATTGCTATGATTTAGCATTAACTTTTGAAGCTATTATGTGGAATTTAAACTATTATTTTTAATTCTTTGATGCTTTTACCTTTTATGTAGTCTAATTTTTTGATTGGACTCAAAGCTTTTGAGTAGGTACCTAGTCTAAGGAAATTCACAAGTGTCAATGTTGTCTAAGTAGTTACACTAAAAACAATCATTCCTTATTTTTCCATCTTTAGGGTTAAACATTTTCTTTAAATTTATATGGAATCATCCAGGGAGTATAATCTATTTAATAAAAAAAAATATCATAAAATCTGTGTATAATTGATGAACATGTCGCGTAACATATATACAAAAAATAATATGCAGTCGATTTTATAAAGGGTTACATGTTAATCGCCGCACGTTAAGGAAAACTTAGAGCTTTAAAATTTAATTTATTTAAAAAACATTTATGCTCGTATAATATGCGAGTTTTTACTTCGCCAAGTACAACCGGTTCTTGGATATTATTGATATGGTGTTCACATTATTTTGCGCCTCACAAATAATTTTCAATAAGAAGACTCATTATTTTTTATTTGCATCTAGCGATCAGCCACTGGCTTAGCGCGAGTGATTTCGGGATCTCCACAACAGCGCCACTTACAGGGTCCAATTGAGTTTTTAAACCTTCCAGGGATCCACTCAAACACATACCTAAAATAATTGATCAAAATCGCTCGAGCTGTTTTAGCGAGAATAACGCAATTGATTCTTATATATTAGAGAAAATTATTCATATTTCTAGTTACGAGTATATAAATTACTACACATTATAAGTTTATTGTTAATTGGAAGTTCGTCAGTGTGTACCTACCTACCCTTAAGCAAAACAACTGAATGCACCACATAGCTGGCCACTCCTCGTTACTGAGTGTTTTGGATAAGAGAAGAGCCCGCTGAAACTCCTCAATTCTTGAGGACGGACTTCAATTTTGGCCAAAAAATTAAGGTTTTTAACATGTAGATTTTCTCAAAATAATTTCCGAGCACGTCATCAGATCAGCACTTAAGTAATTTTAGTTGTATCGGCGGAAATCAAACTAATTGTTCGTGTATTATGAAATTTGAAGCGAGCACCAACATGCACGCTCCTGCATAAACTACAACGGCTCTCCGATATGCATTTATTGTAGTAATTACAAAATATAATAATTGCTTACACAATTTGATATTTCTTAACGAAAAAGAGGAAAGTTACAACTTACTTTGTTATAACGAAGTGGTCCGAAATAATGTTAGTTTTATTTTATTAATTATTATGTGATGTTAAATATATCAGTTGCGCTATAAAATTTTATTTACTGTTATACTGGTATTATGTGTGTTCAATATTTTTCTGTAATTTATAAGTTACACAAGTGGGAATAAATTGTTGACGACTTGATAGCGCAGTATGTACCTACGTGTTTAGCGTGATTGCGGGTTGTTGATTTGTGCGGTGATTCAAGCACGGATGTATGGTCTTGTGTCTGGAGCTGGACTGGAGATGTTTGTTCTTGTGAAATTAATGTTTTAAATATTCCCCCTCCCCCAACCCCGCAACGATCGAGAAAATCTTATTGTGATAGGATATTTTCAAACTTAAAAAATCCAACATTAAAATTATCATAGAAAGTTATTGGTATCATAAATAATCTGATGATTCTATCTTCTCAGCCCGTAGCAACTGATGGACATGGGTCTCTGTGTCGGTGGGTTTGCCTAAATCGATACGTAAACGACCAACTTTGGATACAAAGGAAACAATTGGGGATATGACGTCACCCTGTCTTACGCCTCTGCCTCTCTTCAGGTGGATAGGTTTCGTACTCCGGTTCTGTACTCGGATAGCCATCGTAGCCCTACTATACAAACACTTTAGAACTTTGATATACCGACAGTCAACTTGACACCGTTGAAGGGACTATACCACCGCCCAAAACTTCGACGGAATCAAAGGCTTTCTCATAGTCAACATACGCAAGGCAATGTGGCAGGGCCCTAAATTCATTTTTGCCCCGGGGCCCTTTGTTGCATAGCTACGCCACTGATCAGATGCATCAGATGATTTGGGTATTTTGTGTTTGGCTTAAATTTCTTTTATATTTAAGCCATAAGATTTTCAGAGATTCAGAAATTTTTTTATTAAACAATATTTACGAGTGTATTTACACCATGAGATAATGCTACCGTTACTGATACAGCCTATTAAAGTCCACTGCTTTGAACTTAGGCCTCCCCAATAGATTACCTACATCATAAGGCGGATATTTGTTATAGTTGCCATGCTTGGCAAGCGAGTTGGCAACAGCTGCTACCCATCTCTTCATTTGTTTCCCTTTATTACCTCTTACGACACCCACGGGATGATATGGGGTAGTGCGTATTTTTGCACTGCCACTACACGGTATGACATGATATAAACAAATTGAAATTTGACTAAGTAATAATCGAAAGTTCCTTTAAGTTTCGTTTCACAAAACATTAAAGACTAGAGCGTGCCCTGCAAATTTGCATAACTAATCTACCGATTGAGAACTGGTTTACGTATTATTCTCTGCCAACGATGCCGAGGAATTGATTCACGACTAGAAATACTTGTGACTAAAATAAGATATATAATATAACTTTATTTTATCCAAAGATAGTTTTCTAACATAAATATGTATTTTTTTTAATTGAATGAAATTACGGTTGTCAAGTAGAAACCCGTAAAATGAGAAGCTACTTATGGGCCTGGGATAATACAGAGTCCAGCGGTGAATAGGTAGGAAGTAGGAAAAAAGTGACTACCTTCCCTCCCTTTTTTGTATTTGTATAAGCAATATAATATAATCATTGTTTAACCCTTGTCACTTCCACAATTAAGCAGAATCTAACTACACATCATATGTTCCATCCATCTATCCGTTCGGGCTACAGAACGTGCCAAAGAATTAGTCATACACACATGTGTACTGTTGAAAAATACTACCCTCCTTCTAGGGCAGTCGGATAAAAAAAATTTTCCTCTCCACATGCTGTCTCACAGTCTCCACATGTCTCTGCATTGCATAATACATTGTTATTTCTACTGCCTTTCCGTCTCCACATGCTCTACATTGCTTAAGCCGCGATTATTAACATGAAATATTCGTTATATTTGTTCCTTATTAAATCTTTATCCGTGTTTTTGTACAATAAGCGTAACAATCAAACACACAGTCCATCTGATGTTAAGTAGATGCTGTTACATACAGACATTCGCTTCTATTCTCGATAATCAAAATGTAGATGCGTTGTCGCGTCTGAGAACTAACATAGCCTGCTTCGTATTCAATAAATTAGCAGCTTACGCTGCAATTTTACGCTGTTATTCTGTAAAATCATGTTCTTTCCCCGAAAAATTATGAAAAGAATGTTTGACGAGCCGACCCATTTGCACTACAAGAATAATAAAGCTGTAAACAAAATTTATTTATAATTTATGTTTGCTAGAAATAGCCCAACGATTATTTTTTAATTAAGAAACCCATTGACATGCTATTCATTGAATTATCATATTCTCGTATAAGTAATGTCAGGTAACTTAATGTTAAGTTGTTGTTAATGTTATGAGAGTATACATTACCACTTTTAGACATTCTTATTGTATTTATATAAAATTTTAGTGACAAACCAACCCATGTTTCCTTTCAAGTTAAGTGGCCGCTGCAGTAGAACACATGCAGCTAATTCCAAATGAAGAAATAAAAGAAAGCTTAAGATAGAATGCCTCACATCAGTAATTGTACTGGAAGTCTATGCCCTTCAGACCAGTACACAACAGTGCACGCGACGCTATTTAGCAGCAGAAATAGGTATGAGAGTGGTGCTAAATCTACATTACCTGGTACAGGTCTAAGTAACCTTTCTGAATCTAGACGCATTTTCAGATCCACAGTCTCATGTTACTATGTGCGTTCCTTCGTTTTTCTGAAAACAGTTACTTCAATGCACTGTTAAACATAAACCTTTCAAAGAATATACTTGCAAGGACACGAAACAACAAACACAAATACCTACATAAAATCAGCCGTAAAATCGATTAAATATTTTGAAAGGATTGTAATCAATTATATAAGATCAATTAATTTGCGCTGTACAAATTAACAACCTCAAAAACTCTTTCAAAATTATACTGATAAACTAGCTTATTAAAAAAACTTGTTTAAACTGATAGTTAGTTCAGGTATACTTAAATTTCACTTTCATTAGAAATATTAACAGCACTTTAAAACCACATTTTGATCGATTGTCTTGCGTCCGGCAGCGGCGTCGCGTGTGCAGTTGCTTTCACTTGTCCCGCGCGTGAATTCGTGTAAGTACGTACGTAGGAAATACATAGAGCATAGACGTCGTATCCTTATCGACGAGTCCTCGTAAGTCTACAAATTAATCTAAAGAAAATGTATACTTACAATTATAGGAAAAGGTTCGTGCTTCGTAAACTTGTTTTCAGCAACACCAGATGTACGACTAGATAAGATTCACACTTTCGGAATGGGCATATTAGCTTACTACAGATGCTTATAAGAAGTTTTACATTATAATTATATTTTATCATATATTAAGTATACTATAAAAATATAGATAAGATATAGATATGCGGTTTTAAGATAAATGGTTAAGATATTCCTTAAAATTATTTAACTTGGCTGTAATATTTAGTTAGAGCTTATATACGGCTTCTGCATTGTACAGTGGCGAAGCTAGAGCTCCAAGCTAGGACAAGTCCAAGATATAAATTGATAAAAATATAGATTGTTGTTTTTAGCAGTTTTATAAAAATACACCAAACTTGATCTGTCTCCATGCTTCAGTTTCATATTCAGTGCTGTCAAGGACGTGTTTAACAAAGCACACAGAAGGCATACCACTGCTAGATAGATTGTATTACATAT